AAAACACATATTGCTTTGTAATCAGAGAGGCATGAAGAAGAGAGCGATTGTAACCCTATTCTCTATTGCCAGTAAAAAAGCTTTCATCTTCCGTAGCCTACGTTGCCAAACTCCTCACCCTGAAAGTGAGGCTGAATAACTCGATTGAGTCTTTATACACTGGTCATGAATCCGCTCCAATTGATCATGAAAATCCCATGACAAATCTACCATGATGATATTGTAAGAACCGTCCATTACCTTTTACCAAGATTACCTAATGCAACTTCTTCAATATTTAGCTTAAACCCATCTAAAGAATGGGATTGCCACCGAACCAATCAAGCCCAAGCCTAATGCCATTCATCACTCTCGGGCATTCGACACTTCCTTTTCCCGCCAAATATAACAAATTATAATTGGAATGAATGAAAGCTACCTATTTGATCGAAACTTGAATCTTCTCCATTTTTGGAGATATTCTAACATATGCAAACAACTTTCTACGGCTCCTCAAAGCCGACTTTCATAACAACTTGGAGATAGTGGATATATATAAGGAAAAATAGTTTATGCATCGGGGGTAGCATAACCACATTTGTATCCCCCAAGGCATCACACATCCATCTTTATGATGGATGTGGAATTGTGGTCTTTTAAAAAACGATACGGTTTCTATAAGTCCATGCAGAAATGAGTCGCCTCTTAAAAATCTAGTTTTGAGATTGATTTTTGGACTTAATTTTTTAGGACATGTAATTTCTAACATGGAGGTCATGAATATAAATAAATAAATAAATTTTGAAAATTAAAAATAATTCTCTTAAGAAAACATTTGGACTGTTAGTTTCAATTAGTTTTAGATGGATCACCTATTTGCATCCATTTTTAAGATGGATGCTTTATACCTCAGGGACAACAAATGTAGAAAGGGTAAAATCAATTGTTTGAAAATTTCATTCAAAAAAAAAAAATTTAGTATCTAAAAATTTATGTTTTCTTACATGTTCATGTTCTCCATGTTAGAAATTATATATACCAAAAAAATTAGGAGCAAAATTCATTTCAAAATTGG